CCGACGTTGTTTTATTGTTTCGGTTACCCGAGCTAAATGTTACCCGCTACAGCGCTACGCCATCGTATCATAATGAACTCGCTTGCGGCTAAACGATTTTCGAAAATTAGCAATCATCCCTTCCCTCCAATCCGCCATGTTTGCGTCCCACGTTACGCGTATACAGATAGACGGGATTTGTAAACAAAATTTCCGATCTAGTTTTTACCATTTTTCCATTACTTTTTTCAACTTTCCGTTTCTCTCTGTCCTTAGGCGTGGCTTCTAGCGGCAGCTCTGCTATTGACAGCGGTGGCTGGCCGAAATTTAAAACCACCACCGGAAGAGGATCGCACGAAGCTGTCGGATCCCATCAGGGCTCCGCGACAAGTGGAATCCCAACGCGTCCCTGCGTTGTCGCGCGACGATTCCCAGATCCCGCAGATTTCCAACGTCAACGTTCGCAAATATCCGCGAAAACGGCAATTGCCCGTTTCGATCGGGGCCAATTTCCAGTCGTTCGCGTTAAACGGCCAACCTCGCGCCCCGTTGCGCACAGCCACCTTCGATCCCACCACCAACACCACCACCATCGTAACTCGGATCAACGAGGTCGCGAAGCGGATCGAGCCTCGAATCTCGGCCGGATCGTCTCACGTCGTCTTCGCAACGCCTCGGAGGAGCCTCGGTTTCGAGCATTCGTTCCACCACGACCACCGTCATTCCCATCGTCACGGCCACCACTCGCATCACGAGCATCGGGCCAAGCACGAGCACGAGCACGGTCACAAGCATCACGGCGAGCACGAGCACAAGCATCACCACGGCCACCATCATCATCACGGCCACGAGCATCACCACGGGCACAAGCATCATTCCGAGCACAAGCATCACCACGGGCACGAGCACAAGCACGAGCACGGTCACAAGCACGAGCACAAGCATCACGGGGAACACCAGCACCACCACGGGCATCAGCATCACTCGAAGCACGAGCACCACGAGGAGCACAAGCACCACGCCGAGCATCACCACCATCACAAGCATCATCATCACAACGAGCACCACCACCACCACGAGCACCACCACGTCAACGAGCATCACCATCATCATAGCCACAAGGAGACCGAGAATCACCATCATCATCACGGCCACGATCATCAGGAGCATCACAAACACGGACACAAGGAGGAGCACAAGCACCACCACGGGCACGAGCACAAGCACGGCCACCACGAGGACCACCATCACGCTCACCACCAGGATCACCACCATAAACACGGCCACGAGCACAAGCACCACCACCACCAGGATCACAGTCACAAGCACGGGCACGAGCACAAGCACGGCCATCACGAGGAGCATCGTCACGGGCATCACGAGGATCACAAGCACAGCCATCACGAGGACCATCACCACAAGCACGGCCACGAGCACAAGCACGGGCACAAGGAGGAGCATCGTCACGGCCATCGCGAGGAGCATCGTCACGGCCATCGCGAGGAGCATCGTCACGGCCATCGCGAGGAGCATCGTCACGGCCATCGCGAGGAGCATCGTCACGGCCATCGCGAGGAGCATCGTCACGGCCATCGCGAGGAGCATCGTCACGGCCATCGCGAGGAGCATCGTCACGGCCATCGCGAGGAGCATCGTCACGGCCATCGCGAGGAGCATCGTCACGGGCATCACGAGGATCGCAAGCACAGCCATCACGAGGACCATCACCACAAGCACGGCCACGAGCACAAGCACGGGCACAAGGAGGAGCATCGTCACGGCCATCACGAGGACCACCACCACTCCCATCACCAGGATCACAAGCATCACCACCACGAGGAGCACAAGCACGGCCACGAGCACAAGGAGGAGCACAAGCACGGCCACGAGCACGAACACCACCACGATCATCACGAGGGGCACCATCATCACGAGCACCACAAACATCACGCGTCTCACGAGCACAAGCACGGCCATTCCCACGAGGAGCGCCACAAGCATTTCGACGACCACAGCCACGAGCATCGTCACGAGAACGGCCACAAGCACGCGGAACACCACCTCCACTCTGGTTACGTGGAGCAACACGGCCATCACAAGCAAGGGTTGGGCCATTACTTCGACGCCTCGCAGAATCACGAGGAGTACGCGTTTCCGGAGGAGAGCGAGACGGTGGTGGTAACGCCCCGGGTCGAGGATATCCTTAAAATTAAGAAGGAGGCGGAGGAGAGTACGACCGAGCAAGCTACGACGACGGATGATCGAGCGTGATCGTTCCAACGTAGGAACGATTCCTTTCTATACTTTGATCGTTTCGCTTCCGAGCGCGTTTCCTGCAAATTGTTTCTTGTCTTAGCCTCGAGTTATATCTTTGTTGACACCTTTACGAAATACAAAGTTTACACGAGTTTATGATTGCCTTGTCCCTTCCATTAAACCTGGTGACCGGTTTCGACTAGAGAAGGAGGAAGTTCGATGGATACGACTACGCTCCGTTTCTCGTTTTCGAAACTACAATAACGTTTAAACTTCGGTCTCAAGATACTCGAGCCTTCGTCTCCAACTGGATATCTTTCCCATTCCGGGGAGGGGCGAGGGAGGGAGGAAATCACGGGGGAAATAAAGGGGGAAATCGGTTACGAAAAGCTCGGTGTTAATGAAACGTCCGAAAATTTAACATCTGGCCGACGCAATTGGCCAATTTTGTAATTGCAAAAAAAAAGAAAAAAGAAAAAAAGAAAACGGGGATATCGGCTCGAGAGACTTTGGAGGCAACGATTGTTCGAGGAAGAGTTTCGAACAAACTCCCGTAATCCGGCGAAACAATCCTTCTTCTTCTTCTTCTTCTTCTTCTTCGACGATTCACCGATTTTGAACGACTTACGCCGACAGTTATAATCCAGCCACCACCCAAGTTTGCAACGTCGATCGAGAATCTCGTTGGACCCCCTCCCGAGAGGATGATGGAATTAGCCGTACTCTCGAAAGCGAATTGCCTCGAAAAACGAGGAAAGGCGTAGACGAGAGGGGCAATCTTCGATTAATTATCCGAGTGAAGTTGAGTTAAGAAAAAGAGGAGGGGGGAGGAGGGAGTAGAAGGGAAAAAAATAAACGAATAAATTAAACGGAAGGACTCGTTAATGGAGAGCTCGGGGACATTTTCGAGAGAAAATCTTGTCCCGTTCTAACTTTCGTTTCCCACTCCTCGTCGACGCGATTAATCTACGTGGATAACAAATAATATTATGCTCCGTTAAACTTTCGGATCTTTCGAATACGCGTTACTACACAAACGAAGGAGAAACGTCGCGTTCGGTCGACGGATCTTCATTAGTCTCGTTTCAACCATAATATTATCAACTAATTTCCATTGATTGAAGGAAAATATTTCGGGATGTAGAACGGAATGTTTAAATTCTTTCGAAATCGATCCATCCATCCGACGGTAACGAAAATTAATAACTGTAAAAATTTCACTGTCGAAAATAAATTAATAACAAAAGTTTGTCGGGTCGTTTTTATCTTTCTCTCCTCGGTTAAAATATTTCGTTCATTTCGGCGTCGTGTTGCCGTTTCAACCGAACAACTGTAGATGCGGGCAAAGGACACGATAAACGTAACAACCGCGGAGGAAACGTTTCCACCGGAAACGGTATCGGGTTCGCCGCCGCGCAAAACGTTAATATTTCTAGGCGAGGAGTTTGATCTTGTTTTCGCGACCTCCATCCAGAGACAAAAGGGAAAACTTTGGCGAAAAATTTCGACCCCTCGATATTACATTCTTCTCATCGATCCCTTCTTATCGTGTACATGCATCTCGATGCAAGATTTTCCATGATTTTCCCGCCTTTTTCATTTGTTGTAATTTTTTTCGATCTAATTTCGAACCACGTCGAAACGATTGATCGAGCAACCGGAGAATACCGTTGAAATATTGGCGGAAAAGGTCGGCAACGATTCAACTAGAAATTCAAATATCGGTGAAATTTCACTCGGTTCGTTCGAAGCGGGCGAGGAAAAATTCATCGCCGAGCACTGTTCGATCTTTGAGAAAATTATAAGAGCACGAACGAGAGAATTTCTTTCCCCTCTTTTCCCTTCCCTTCCGAGAAGGGAAGCGTCGCGTAAGAGAGCATCGATTTTTCCAACGAAAATTCGCAAAATTGAGAGAGGGATGTCTGCCGGCGAAATGGGTTAATAAATCGTTGGCCGTGATAGATTTCCGGGAAACGGGGAGAGGGGAAAAGAA